CCGACTCGACGGCACTTAACAACAACAACAACAACATGAACACTCATGGAAGTAGCAGTCAAGAGATCAAATGACATATTGCATTAGGCAAATCTGCTGCACAAGACCTTTTTAAAGTGTTGAAGAGCAAAGGTGTCAGCTTGAGGACTAAGTTGTGGCTGACTCAAGCCATGGTATTTTCAATAACCTCATATGCATGTGAAAGCTGGACAGTGACTAAGGAAGACCATAGAAGAATTGATGCCTTTAAGTTATGGTTTTGGAGGAGAATATTGAAAATGCCATGGGCTGCCAAAAGAACCAATAGATCCGTTTTGGAAGAAGTGCGGCCAGAGTGTTCCTTGGAGGCCAACATGACCAAACTTTGTCTCTTATACTTTGGACATATTGTCAGAAGGGATCAGTCGCTGGAGAAGGATATCATGTTTGGTAAGGTGGAAGGTCAGAGGAAAAGAGGAAGACCCCCAATGAAATGGATTGGCCAAGTGGCAACATGGATGGACTCAAGTGTGGCAACAATAGTGAGGTTGGCCCAGGATCAGGCAGTGTTTTGTTCTGCTGTGCATAATGTTGGTATGGGTCGGTACTGACTTAATGGCACCTAACAACAAGGTCCTTTGTTAAAGAGCTCTGGTAGAGTAGTGGGTTAGTGTTGGGCTGCTGACTATAAGGTCAGTGGTTCGAATCTACTAGCTACTTCCCAGGAGATAGATGAGGGTCTCTGTTCCCATAAAGATTTACAGCCTCGGAAATCGTAACCCTATACAGGACTGCTGTGAGCCAGAACCAGCTCTATGGTAAAAGCAACAACGATCCTATTCTGACATAGTTGTTGGTAAGTCAGTTCTAACTCGTGGTGACCCCTTATGTTCAGAACAGGGTTTTCAAGACTTTCAATCCTGTGGTCTTCTTTTGGAAGCATATCACCAGCTCTTTCTTTAGAGGTGCCTTCAGAGGAGGATTCAAACCTCCAGTCTTCAAGTTATAAGTAGAGTTTAATGATTTATGCCACTCAGTGAGTACTTTATTGACATAAAATATCATATCATTTCTACCTCATTACCATATTTATCTATTGTTTCTTTCATGTAATTCAGGTTATAAATCTGTTAAGAGCAGGAACTGAATTCTATGTGTAAAGTCATTGGAGGATAATAGTTAATACATTGTACTGCGAATTACAAAACTTACGTTTGAACTGTGCCACTGTATAACTTCTGAAACATTATATTGTATTTCCATCTTTTTTTTCATCTGTCAAATGTGAACGTGGATGTCATGAGAATTAATTGACAATACCTGTATGTGTGAAAATGTTTTCTAAATTTTAATGTTATACAACCTAAGAAGTCTTGATGTGGTGCTACAGGATAAGCACTGAAGGCAAGGTCGATTGGAACTGCAAGGTCGTTGGTTGAAACTCACTAGCCACTCCTTGGAGACCCTATACAGGGTCATATGAGTTGGAACCGACTCAATGGAACTTAACAAGAACAACATACAATATAAGGTGTTGTTTTTTATTGCTTCTTCAGAGTCCCTTCTGTGGATTTCATGTGCGCACAGAAAGGACAGTCAAAAAATAGCCTCCTGTGTCCTGCTGACTGTGATATGTTGTTGTTGTTGTTAAGTGCCATCGAGTCGGTTCCGACCCATAGCGACCCTGTACAGGGTTTCCGAGGGTGTAAATCCTTACGGGAGTAGAAGTAGAAAGCCTCATCTTTCTCCCGCGGAGCGGCTGGTAGTTTCGAACCGCTGACCTTAAGGCTCGCAGCCCGATTCGTAACCACTACGCTACCAGAGCTCCAGTTCTTTAAAGCAGGGCTTTCAAGGGGGAGTCATTCTGGTTTGACCCCCTATTGAGAATTTGCATTTTTACCTTGGGAATCTTGTTGAAATGTAGATTCTGACTCAGTATATCTAGAGTGGAAATGCAAATTCTCAGCAGGGGATAGAAGCGGATGGAACAGAACTCAAAGAGTTGTTTTAAAGTAATGAATACCAAGACCCATTCTTCAGCTTCCTTCTACTTTCGGGGACAGATTACTACTGTCCAATGTAACTTTTGGCAAACTATTTTTTTGTTGCATTTTCTATCTTCTTACTAACATGATCTCTTGCAGTCCTACATGCGCTTCCAGCTCACCCTTGATATTTGCCTTGTCAATTCTATCCTTCACCTCTTGGAAGTAGCTGTGTTACCTGGAGCACACTTCTTTCCCAGCCCCGCCTGCATTTCTTTCCCGTGGGCTCTTCTTCCCCTCTGCTGGCAGCCAAGGAGAAGCACATTTATTGGCATTACACCCAAACAGATGCTTGCCTCCTTCCCTTCCCCCTTTCCCTTCAAGCTAAACCATCACCTGCCAATGGCTGGTGGTTGCTGCCCCCCCTGTCCACTGCCTCACACTGCTGCAACTCGAGTCCTTTTTGGCAGCCTCTTCTGAAGCTCCCCTGCCCGCAGCAATCCTGTGCCTCTTGCCAGCAGCAGCCTCCCCCTCTCGTCTGCAGCTCTCCTCTCTCCCCCGCTTGATTTGCGCACAGCTTCTTTCTCCCGCCCTTGCCAGCTGCTTTACTTGCCTTTCCTCAGGCTGCACCCTCTCCTTCCTTCCCCAGTGTCCGTCTGCCAATCTCTTCCCAGCACCCTTACCCGCTCTAGTCCGATGTTTTGTTCACACCCAAGACTAGCTCTCCTGGGTCCCAGTGTATGTACGTGCCCACCGGACAGAACAACCTTGGGAAGTGAGCATTTTAATTTCCATGTCTATACTAAGCCAGTAACCCAAAATCTGTGTTTACAGCCCCAGCCCCCTTATCCTTCGAGTCCTAAAAGCGGGTGTGGATAGCAGAGAGAATTCAGGGAGACACTATGGCACAGGATAGGGGTGGGTGGACCCCCAACAAAGTTTTGGATACTCAGGACTTGCCATCTGCGCTTTCGGAACTTGGCTAGCCAGGGCAGCCGCCCTGAGCCCCTATGCAGCGCAAAGTGATCTGGTCAGTCCTGTATTCCAGGCGCCTTCGACCTTTCAGGGCCGCTGAGTTAAAAGTAGGACCAGGCCTGCGCCGCTCGCCACCTTTCACCCGGTCCATAGCCCCACCCAGGCACTGGTACAGGCGGGACGCACTTGTTCCTAGTGTTAGGCCAAGGGTGGGCAAGACAAAAGGATGGAGTCGCCTAGGTTCTCTGATGCCTGCCAAGGGAGTGAGAGATGGGGGATATTGTTAAAAGAGATTCTCCGAAACCAGGGCCGTTCTCCCGTGCAGGTTATCTATAGTGCGCCTTGCAGTAGAAGGATAGACTTTAAGAACTGTCTCCTTTAAGAATCGCGCGCGCTCTTGTGTGTATATGTCGGGTAGTGTCTGTGTGCGCGCGCGTGCGCGCGCCTTTAGGTTTGTGTGTGTGTGTTTGCGCGCGCGCGCGCGGCGCGCGCACCCTGAGCTGGGGAGCTAGGCAGACCCTAGGAAGGAGGAGTTATGTAGATTACGGATGAACATTCTGGAGGGGAGCGAGGAGAGGGAAGGCAAAAGCAGAGGCGAGAGTGCGAGGAGCGGCGGAGGCCCTTCCCGCAGAAATAGGGGGCGGCGGCGGTGGTGGAGGCGGTGGGAGAGGAGGAGGAGGACGCGCGGGCTGGAGGCGGCAGCGGCGGCGGCGGCTGCTGCTGCGGCTGCTACTCGGCGCTTTGAGCCTGAACCGACGGTGAACTTGGGCGCCACGTTCCGGGTGACCGGCCCCCGAGGATGGTGAACGCGAGCTGCTGACCCTGCCTCAGCCGCTGCTTCTCGGGGGCTGCCGAGACAGGGGCCCCCTGTCTCCTCCCCTTGCCCGGCAGTGGGTGAACCTGCACGCTTCTTACCCACCCTGAGGACTTTTTTTTGAAAGGAGGGAGGGAGGGAGAGGGAAAGAGGGAGAAAGCGAAGGGGAGCTCGTCCATCCATTGAAGCACAGTTCACTATGATCTTACTCACATTCAGCACTGGAAGACGGTTGGATTTCGTGCATCATTCAGGGGTGTTTTTCTTGCAAACCTTGCTTTGGATTTTATGTGCTACAGTCTGCGAAACGGAGCAGTATTTCAATGTGGAGGTAAGAGTACGAAGGCTTTCTCCCTGCCTGCCTGGGTTGCTCGCAGAAACATTTCGTTCACTCCTCTGAGCCCTGTAGCTCTAAGCAGATGGGGTCTCAACACATTGTTTCCCTTTTTGCCGCCGAGACCCTTACTGAGTTTCCCTGGGTCTTAGGTGATGGATGCGCTTAAGACCAAGAATCCGTTATCCCCAGCAGCACAAAGCACGATGCTGCGCGCTCAAAGGCACAATTGTAGCTGATCCATCTTTCCGTCCAGGGACGAGAAGTCCTACATATAGCAAACGTGTAGCTTCTTAAAGGCAGCTTGGGTTTGTGATGGATATACAGCTCTGGGAAGATGGAATTCATTGCTTGCCATCATATGCTTCCTTGGTATTGTTCCTGAAATCTTTCTCCCTCTGTTTGGTGCCTAACAAAGGAGGTTAAAAATCACAGAATCTAGAGGAGAGCGTGGGAATACTTGATATGTTTAATAACATTACTTTGCGATAAAACACTTGACTAGACGGAGCCTTTTTCTCATTTAGACATAACTTCATACATTGTAACCGGATCAGGCTGACACGGAGGACATGAAATCCATCTCTTTTTAAGTGTCTTTCCTCCCCTCCCCCGCCAGCTGAAATAAACGTGGCTCAATGTAGTAGTTCTGGGGTGTGTTTTTTTATTTCATTTCACGCCCCCGTAGCCAAACGGAGAGGTTTTAAACTGTCACTTGCTTTGCTTTGATAGCTTTAGGAACAGGCAAGCACAAAGCAAAAGGGAACTTAAGGATAAGGACTTGTCAGACCTCTGCCAAAGTACTTTTCCTGTCATCAACTCAGCAATAAGGCCAGTAATGTGCAGTCAATCAGTGGAAGCGGGTGCACACCTGGACTTAACACTAGTGTATCATGCAGACGGTGGAATACAAGGACAGTAAGAGGGTCTTCTAAAATGTACTCTTTTTGATTAGCTCTCAAGTCTTCTAACATCTCAAAAGACTTTTGATTAAACCTCCAAAGATTAATGCCTGTGTGTTGCTTCCCTTATGTTGTAGATCTCATAAAGCTTCAACTGTCGTTTTGTTGGGAGTGTGTGTTTACACAATAGCAGGACCTGTTGCACAGTATTTGAACATACTCCATTGAACTGATATATATACAAAGTGTGCATAATAAATGCCATGTGTAAAACGTTCTCATTATAACTGTGTTTATATAAAGTGTTCTTAGGACTTCATGTATTAAGTGATGCTTGGTAGAGAAAAAGTATTTGAAGAAGTAACAACCATTATTTAAAAAGGTAAAGAACTTTATGGTGAGACTATAGTGCACAAAAACCCCAATTTGAAAACCAATATCTATTTAACCCTTGAAAAAAATAAGTTTTGTATTGCTATGTAAAAGATAGATGTACAGGGGTTGGAAGTCCTAACTTTTCTTGACTGTAAATTTGAACTTTGGAAACTATATGCCACAAATAGAGTTTTTAACCTAATGTTTAAATCTAGAGATAATTTGATGTTCACATGAAGGAATAATGTATTGTCTTAAACAATGAGAGTGGGAAACTTCTTTATAGTATTATAAACAGAAAGGCCTATCTCTACCTGATGGTGGTCGTGGTGCTGAGGTGGGGCATGGGATAGAGGGGGCTGGGGTTAAAAGTAAGAGTTGTGTTGTATCTTGCTCACAGTGGGTGGGAAGGAGGGTTAACGGGATTGATGACCACTTGCCTTTGGGAAGTCTACCATTTGCTTTCAGAAATTATTGGGATAAACATCAGTGTCTTGATTATTATTAGATTTCCTGTTGGAGACTACAACATAAAATTGAATGCATTTCTTTATTAAGTTGAATCATTCAATTCAATTAGATAGTATCAGACAAAAAGAGTTATGATTTTACTAGAAATATCCTACTAGTTTAATTTTGAATTTCCATGATCTCTGTCTTTATTAAGATATATATGAAAATATGGCTCATTTGGGAAAAAAAAAGTTATTTCCCATGTTCAGGATATTTAAATGATCCCATCCATATATACATAGCAATAAAATAATAAGTTTATATAATATAAAAGAAATATACCACCAGGATCTTAAAAAATATTTTAATAAATTGAAAATTTTAGAGTAGATTGTGATGAATAGCTCATACTTTCCTCAAATAGTTTTTGTTCTTTCAAGTCCTTGAGCATTTTTTTATTAGGTATATGTGCTGCTTAGATGTGGAATGATAACCATCCCCATCCCCTGTTTTTTGTTTTTGAATCATAGGTAGTAGCTGCTAGCTAAATCAAAATACTGTAAAGAACATAGGATGATGGGATGTTTTCTGATATGAATTTATGCCTGATTTATTTGCATTAGAGTTTTTTTTTTTTTTTTTTTGGATAGGAAACACTAATGGGATGAGTAGTCCATCACTTTTCCAGCAGAGGCACTTATATTGCGTTTCTCATACTTGGTTGCAAACATATTCTGGGCATGCTTTATTTTATTGATTCTCAAGGACAATCTTAAAATAAACAGTAGTGGTATTAATCATGTATGAAGCTCATATGATCATATTTTTTTTCAAGTTGAGTACTAGTTGGAATGAAGCTTCTGAGAGATGCTTTTTATGCTGACAGCTAAGATTACAATGTTTATTCCTTACTGAATTTAACGATTGGTGGTATCCCATATGTTTCATTCCTGTGATTTAAAATGTAAACACCTATTTTTTTCCACTCCTGAAGAAGCAGGGATAAAGGTGTTCATGTTAAGTCTTTCCAGCCTAATTTTAAAGGAAGTAAACATTTGGGATTTTCCATTGCCAGAGTGAGAGATATTTTAACATATGCTTAAGAAAGCCTGTTACAGAGTAAGAATGCATTTGTGTTTTTATTAAGAAGCAAAAAATATTATTTCTGGTAGGTAAGAAGGGGCCATAGTACTACATACAAGTAGTACTACTGAAGCAATTCAGTGCATTCTTCCTATTATGTCAGGGAAAAGAATCTTTGATGTTAAATTTTTAGAGTACCTTCATTCAGATCTTTCTGTATCATTGCAGCCCTTTTTTGGGAAGCATTCTTTCAGTGTGTAGCAATTGACATGATAAAAAGGACTTATGTTACTAATATTAACTAAAAGTCATAAACTGCTGTCATTGGACAGTAGTCTGAATCAGAGGTGTTCATTGGTCAGAAGCAGTCAAATTGTTAACTTAAGTGTTATGATTTAGTCTTCACTCTTAAAAGCCATTTTGTATCTAAAATTGTTACCATGTTATAGTGGGAATATCCATGACACTGGAGTTCCTTATTTGGGGGTGCATACTGCAAGCATTTTTGTCATGATATTTGAGATGAGAATAGTTTATGATGTTAATATCTCTCATCATCAACTCTTATAAATTGTCAAATACAAAATATTTTAAATATTGAATGTAATATTTTTAAACAATAGCGTGCATTTATAGTGAGAACAATGGTTTTAAGCCAATTTAAGGGTGAAATCATGACACTTAAAACATTGAATGATGCACATATCAAAACATAGGCAATTGATTGCTTTTTGTGACAAAAAAATCTTGATACAGCAGAAATTGATCTGTTACTCTTATTTACAAAATAAAAAAAAATATTCTGGATTTCAAAGGAACCTCTTTGATAAATATTATGAAATATTTTGAGCCTAGCCATTTACCAGGACTTATTTCACAACTTTATCAGAATTATCTGTTGCTGTTGTTTTTGGTACTTTTGGGTCAGTTCCGACTCACAGCGACCCTGTGTAGTTTCTCAGGATTGTCTGGTGGGTTTGCGCCACCAACATGGAGGTTAGCAGTTCAGTGTTTATCCTACAGCGCCACACCAGAATTTGTTTTGGGCAGCATAGTATAGCATATAAGTTTGGCACTAATTGGTCATGATATATGTCAGAGATAAAATGTTATAATTTACAGATTTGAAAGCATATATGTTATTGTTAAGTGCCTTTCAGTTGGTTCCAACCCATAGTGACCCTATATAGGTTTTTTGAGGAGCAGCTGCTGAGCTTGAATCACCGACCTTGCTGGTCAAACCGACTTTGCAGTCCAGCATGTTGATCCCCATGACCACTCCAGGACTCCCATAGATGTAGAAGACACTTTTTCATATCTCCTGTTCTCTACTTGCTTAAATAATCAAGTTACATTATTTTAATTGTTGATGAAATAGTCATGCCACCATGATCTCATTAGTCTGCTTGAGTGAGAGATTATCTGACTACATCCCAGAATTCTCTGATTTATCAGTTTATACTGGAAACAACTGTGGTTTTAGGCCTGAATCAGATAAGTTTTGTTTGCCCCAAATCCTAAATTTTATAAGTTTTCCCAAGTATGCTGGTCATTCAAAATGTTAGAAGGCCAAACATGATTAGGAGAGTAGAAAGCTGGCCTCTGTGCCCCGACTGGACTATCCTTTCCTCTCTTCAAAGTTGCCTGGTGTGGGTAAGCCTTACAGGTAAGCATATTTCTTATTACCCCCATGAGAAAACAACACAGAACTATAACCCAAGCCTATCACTCTTGAAACATTTGGGTTTTATCTTTCACTCTCTTCTCCTTATGAAGTATGGATAGAGTCTGATTCAATAACGGCATTCATAGCTCTCGAGTCAGGTTAAAAAGGACATCTAAAGTGTCAACTTTTTTTTTATTTTTTTAATTTGAGCTTTTCAAGGTTATGACATCAAAAAATGTTCACATTGAAATTTAACTTTATTATTTCATGAATTCTTTTTCATAGGATTTGTTCTGTTACTTCTAACAACCTCTGTATTTTAGTTTATTGTGGTGAAAACATTCATACCAAAACATCTGCCAACACAACTTCCACACTTACAACTGAATGACATTGATTATATTTTTCATATTGTGCCACCATTGTAACACAAGCACATTTTATTGTGAATTGGGTGAAGGTTTACAGAGCAGATCAGTTTTCCATTCAACAATTCATACATATTTTGTTTCATTTCA